TAGCAAGTAGCCAACAAACAGGGCTAGAGCCACGATAGCCAGGTTCATAGGCGCGAGCCACGTTGCTACACTTACAACCGCCATCGTTAGAGGCTAGAAGTTATGAACCCTTTCCTAGGTGAGCAGATTGTCTATGCAGTGCTGCGTTTGCCCCGGGCTGCATTAAATACGTTTCAATACTCGTCAAGGACGTGAACGAAATAGGCGGAATATATGCTTTCTCGGGGCACGGTCCGCGTGCAGCTCCGGACTTGCTGTGTGTGTTTAAAGGCCTATTTACACAATACGTCCTAGGCGTACGTCCAGGCCTTATCAGATTTTTGCATACGTCCTTGACGTAACGGTGAATCTGTTTACACGGTAAGTTTTGTTCAAACGTCCAGGACAAGTAGTTCACGGGCAGGCCGCCATGGGGGAGAACACGTACACGGCGGCTGAAGAAAATTGCCATAGCGCATCTTCTTGTAGCAGGAATTAAGAAAAAATATGAAATTTTGCAAAGAAGGAGGCGAGCTTGGGCAAGACCTTAGATCGCCATGAGAGACAAACTTGGAGCGTATCATGTACTTCAAAAAGAATTGGAGGAGGAAGACCCCGGAAGCTTTCGAAATTTTGTGAGGATAGACATGGACACTTCCCAAGAACTTCTTGAAAGGATCACACCAATAATCCAACGCTCTACAACCAATATGAGGGAACCAATTTCTGCTGCAGAACGCTTATCTGTGATCCACAGGGTATGCCATGCTGTCAACACTGTTCATCGCGAAGAAACTTAAGCACGTGACCCAACCTCATCCCCCTGATTGGTCGAGTTCTTGCGTCCTGCTTACAATGTCGCAAGAAATGGGGTTAGCCGCTAGCTTTTCCGCCAGGTGGCGCAGCGGGAGTTAGAGGTGTTTCAACGATTGCGCAACGAACGAGTCAGTTGTAAAGATACAGGAATCGTAGCGATATAACCAAATTAAAATGCCTTCGTACTGTTGTGTTCCTGGTTGTAAGTCGGCTAAAGCTGGTCATAAGTTTCCAGCGAACCCGAATCTTATTACCCACCAGAACGATTACCCACCCGGACAATTACCCACCAGGACAATTACCTACCAGGACAATTAACCACCAGGACAATTACCCACCCGGACAATTACCCACCAGGACAATTACCCACCCGGACAATTACCCACCAGAACAATTACCCCCACCCCCGGAAGATTACCCTAGCCTCCCCCCACACACACATTGTACAGTAATGATGATTCATCTAACGGACCAATTTAACTTCATGATTTCATAATTTCAACTTCAACATTCGCTGATACTGCCGATATTTTGACTTATTTGCGACATTTTCCGATACCCGATTTTGAAGTTTATCGGCAAGTATCGGCCTTTACCTGCGCATCAGCAGCGGGAGCGAAGCACAGCCACCAATGCACACGTACATTTCTAGACATTTTCCGGGTCGCTTAATACAATGAATAACATCACATTTATTTTACGTTCTCGCCACGCGCCTGGCAGTCGCCGCGTCGAGTTATTCTTGTAGTGTTGTTCTTGTTATTCTTCAAGTAAATTTATTGTTATTAAGGTGATACGCGCTATTGCAAATTCGCGTAATGCAAACTCGCGTAAATCAAGAAACAGCAGCGACGCGACACCCACTTAATTACCTTTCCGTACATTAAGTAATGACGTCCTGCATTAGCAACGCGACTTCACTCGCTATAATCGTGTTAAACCTCTCGGCGACTTCAGGGATGACCGGATTCAAAGCCGCACGAACGAATTTGATTTTCTTGCGTTGCATTTCCGAAGCTCTTGTGAATGCCACACCGAGACTTTGGTCCCCATCTTGTTGTAGCTTGAAAGATAAAAGGTCGGGCCGGTCGGCAAAGATGTGCCCCTTCTCTACGATAGCCTCTGCCCACGTCTCGCAGCTGTTGACAACAACTACGCGCCTAAGGCCCAAGTTTAAGCTGAATATATTTCCGTATCGCTCCGACATCTTGTTGAAAAATATCTCCGGTCGTTTGCCGAGTTCGAACATGCTGCCGACGACGGGCCACCCGCTGGGGCCGGGCGGTGGGTTACCTCGCCAGCGGTTTGGTCTCAGTAGCAAGTAGCCAACAAACAGGGCTAGAGCCACGATAGCCAGGTTCATAGGCGCGAGCCACGCTGCTACACTTACAACCGCCATCGTTAGAGGCTAGAAGTTGTGAACCCTTTCCTAGGCGAGCAGATTGTCTATGCAGTGCTGCGTTTGCCCCGGGCTGCATTAAATACCCACTCGTCAAGGACGTGAACGAAATAGGCGGGATATATGTTTTCTCGAGGCACGGTCTGCGTGCAGCTCCGGACTTGCTGTGTACGTGTTTAAAGGCCTATTTACACGATACGTCCTAGGCGTATGTCCAGGCCTTATCAGATTTTTGCATACGTCCTTGACGCAACGGTGAGTTTTGTTCAAACGTCCAGGACAAGTAGTTCCAGGGCAGGCCGCCATGGGGAGAACACGTACACAACGGCTGAAGAAAATTGCCATAGCGTCTCTTCTTGTGGCAGGAATTAAGAAAAAATATGAAATTTTGCAAAGAAGGAGACGAGCTTGGGCAAGACCTTAGATCGCCAGGATAGACAAACTTGGAGCGTATCATGTACTTCAAAAAGAATTGGAGGAGGAAGACCCCGCTTCCGAAATTTTGTGAGGATGGACATGGAGACTTTCCAAGAACTCCGTGAAATGATCACACCAATAATCCAACGCTCTACAACCAATATGAGGAAACCAATTTCTGCTGCAGAACGTTTATCTGTGATCCACAGGGGATGCTATGCTGTCAACACTGTTCATCGCGAAGCGACTTAAGCAATTGACCCAACCTCACCCCCCTGATTGGTCGAGTTCTTGCGTCCTGCTTACAATGTCGCAAGAAATTAGAACATGCGTCTAGTGCATCCGATATCGCAGGGGACAAAAAAATCGTGTCGTACCGCATAGTTTACACGGTGCGTTTTGGACGTATGCGTCTGACTGATGCGACAGACGTACGTCTAGGACGCATCCTGTAAATAGGCCTTAACAAGAAGGTGGATGAAAGTCGACAAGCACGTGGGACATAGAAATACACACGGGATATTTCTTCCAGGCACTGCCAGTATGTTTAGGGATATATATATAAACGGCACATCACAAGTGCAAATAACATGAATAAACTTGGTAGCAAAATAGGCGAATAATATAAGTATTCTTGTATCAATACAGCCACATCATACTTGTAACAATATGCTAAGCGGCTTCTCTGCTTAGCATTCAGCAAATAGAGATAGAGTATGGAAAGTTAACTCGCAGTGGACTAATGCCCTACTGTAGCATTTATTGTGAAAGCAGTTGCGAGGCCTCAGGGTTACTGAAACGAAAAAGGCACCACCCTATGCGCCTATGTTCCACATAGGCGCGAAAAGGATTTAACATTTTTTAACTGTATCAATTCAGGTGGTACGAGATAGACTTTCTCTCTCTCTCTCTCTCTCTCTCTCTCTCTCTCTCTCTTTCTCTCTCTCTCTCTCTCTCTCGCGCTCTCTCTCTCTCTCTCTCTCTCTCTTTCTCTCTCCTCTCTACGAGGCACCTTATGCGGGCCCGACCAGTCCATTGGGCCTTCGCTCCAGCTCATTAGGCGCGGCTGTGCAAAGAGTTACTCCTTGAGCCCGCATAGGGATTATGCTGTTCCTCGTCTGTTGGCTATTAGGAGACCGTTGGTGTCGTCGCAGCATATAGTGTGCATGCATCATGGACGGTGGATACCCTCGGGTGTGGCATAGCCAGATGTTAGAACTCCTTGCTCTCCTTTCTCTTTCCTCGCTTCTCGCCAGCAGAAGGGCGGTGACCCTCCCCTGCGGGCGGATCTCGTTCAATTTCTGGCTGGAATACACCACAGCCTCCACTTCTCCCACGTGGCAGGACCCAGTCTACCTCGCTTCGCTCACTCCCGCGTTGACCGGCCCACGAGTTTTCCCGCCGATCGACGCTCGACGCGCTCCGTCCCGTCGAACCTAAGGTGCATGATTATAGTCATTCCCTCTCCCCGTCGCCCTCATACCAGCAATACCGTAAAATAACTGCGAACGGATGCGGTCTTCCCGGCTGGGGCGCCCCCTGGTCTTGCGCTCCACTCACCAAACCCCATCCCGCACTCTTTCCACTCGCCTGCTTACGCTCTCAACTGTTCTGAGGTAGGCGGGTGGGAATCGTACGCACAACGCCGACTGATCACACCTTCATGTTTCCGTATCCGCCCACACCGTACATTCGGCGTGCTCACACAGGGCCCCGCAGGATAGGCCCTATCACCTTGGCTGGGCCACGATCCAACTCATCAACGCTGGAGACCGCCCGTCCTCTCGAGTAGCCGCGGCTGCCATCAGGGCGATGGGCCCGCCGGCCGGCGTGAGGAGGCTTCTAGCCCTCCCGGCCCCACCACACCAACCCCCGAAACGAGGCGCATCGCTCCCGGGTCTCAGCATCATGGGATGCGGCTTTTCCCTCCGTCCATATTCTCTTCGGCCCGCGCGGCGAGTCTCACATCCCCAGCGCGTGATTCTGGCCCGCCCACGCTCGGCTTCCGGTCCTGTCGCCGGCGCTCTGCGAACCACCCCGGGTCATGGGCTGATCCCCACACGCCGTCTCCTTCCGGGTTCCACCCCGCGAACAACAGACCGGCGATCTCAAGCCTTTCGCAGTGATCGCCGTGTTTTCTTCGCGCGACGGCGATCTCTACCCACCGGTGGTTGCTCGTCTTCTTGTGTCGCCGGCGCTCTCACCCTCGATGGTGCATCCGCGCGTTTTCTTCAGCCCGAGCGCTCATCTCTCATCGTCGTCCTCTCTCCCTTGCGGTCTGATCGTCTCCGTTTTTTCTCCTTCGCGGACTCGCGCGATTCACTCCCTCTGTCTCGCCTCTGGTGCTTGCCTCGTCTTCTCGCTCGGCCGGCGGCTGCTCACCCTCATGGTGATCGCGCGTATTTCTTCACCGACGGCAATCTCAGCCTTTTGCGGTGATCGCGCGTTTTCTTGCGCGACCGCGAATCATCACCTCGCGGTGGTTTGCCGGTCCTTCCTCGGTCGCGGCCGCTCTCACCGCTCATGGGATCACCGTTTTCTTCACCGCCCGGCGATCTCACCTTCGCGGTGAGTGCCGTTTTTCCTTCGCCGACGGCGATCTCACCGCCTCGCGTGGTTGCCGTTTTCTCGCCGCCGGCGATCTTCACCCTCGCGGGGTGTGCCGAGTCTTTCTCGTCGCAGCGGCGGCTCTCCCCCCCTGCATGGTGACGCCGTTTTCTTCGCGCGGCGGCCCGATCATCACCTCCCAGCGGTGCATTGCTACTCTTCTCGGTGTCTCGCCCCGTTGGGGCTCCAGCGGCGTCAACGGCGCCCAAGTCGATACAACTCCTACCGCGTTGCACTACCTCTTGCGACGTGTTCCTCTCCTCTGCTCTCTCTCCGCCGAGCCCAACGCGCGTCCCGCACACCTCTGCTCCTCCTGCTCAGCATCTGGAGGTGTTGACTTTCATCATATTCTCTCACTAACATATGTGAATTCAGTGGCTTTGACACGCAGCAGTCGCTCAAAGGGGTGGCCAACGCATCATTAGATCTTCCTCATCTGTAATCGACTGTCTCTCGTCTCGCGTGGTCCCCTACCACGTCTGTCGCGCTCTGCGAGTGTCTCTCTACCTCATTTCGGGATACCTCTCACCTACAAACGGTGGCTTCTGCTGAAGTGCCCTAGATCGGTTCTTCCCACGCACACCAGCGGACAATGGCGAAAGAAGAGTTTCACTAGATTGAGCTCGGCAGCGCCAAGACGCCTCAGGCCCGCGGGGCCAGATCTACAATCAGCGACCCACAGTTCTAGTCTGTCCACAGGTGGACGGTGGTCATCAGCATCGACACTCTCTCTCGCAAACCACTCTACGCCTATAGACCGTGACAGCACGATTTGCAGCTGTCCTTTTGTGAGTTTCGCAACGGCGAGGATTGTCGAACTGCCCATAGTACTTTATTTCTTTCGTTCTGGTTCTCTCTCTGGAACGGAGGAGCCCACCAGGGGATCGTCACCAGCTATGACACACCGGTGGCAGGAGCCAAGCGGCGACACATAGCACAGCCTCCCCGGGTCTTACAGCCGGGCGACGGGGCCACCCACACATTATCATTCATGCTAAGATAGATGAAGGTTGAGTCTTTAGTTTTGCGCCTTGGACTCGGAAGCTCGTACACAGCGGGTCACGGACGCTCAAAACTCAGCAGTCCTACCAACCCCCACACACTCCAACTAACAGACTCACGAGACCTGGGTATTTTGTATTATAACCGTTGTATCTGGACTGGTCATCGCACGGGAACTCCCGCTCCTCAAAGCGGTTATCCACCAGACTCCTCCCCATTCTAAGATGCCTCGCGGGGCCGTCAGCCAATGGAGAAATTAGTCTCTAATAATGAATCTGTATATGCACTCGCGTCTTGCGAGAAACAGACTGATGCCACTGTGGTTCAGCAATCAGTGCCCCTTCAAGGCTGTCCTCTTCGTCTGTCCAACTACGGCCGTTTGCGTCGCAAGAACCAAGTGCCAACAGCGTCCCACTCTGCCAAAGTAAAAAACACGCGATTTTAAACTGGTCGCAGTGGTACGTTCTTTACCCCTGCCCAGAGGGGATTGATAAATTCAATTTATTTATCGATACGTCGCCGACAGCATGTTTTCACACTACGCCACACACCCGCCACTTTTTCCAGTGAGCTCCTAACTTCTCTTACTCTCATGCAGCGCGTGCAGGACGCCATCAACTGTCAGATGGACCGGCGGAGCGACAGACCCGAGCACAGGCGTCCACGCTGGCAGTTATGGCTAACCGAGCCGGAAGCCGTCGCACCCTCACAGCACAACTACCTGGACCCCAAGTACTCCCTCGATCGACCCATCACTCTGTACCCAGCCGTATAACATAGTGTCCGTGTAGTGCGCTATAACGTTCTTCCCTTCCTGCTGGCCGAGTCCAAAAAAGCTCTGGCGGTCTTTCGGTCACCTGTCTCGCAAGCGGAGTCGCTGACAACGGACAATCATAACATCGTATTTTGCTCACACCACACTCTAGGTGTAAGCACACCAATTCAGTTACTTTAGTCCATTATTAGCACGCTAAAGACCGTGTATTCACGCATAGAATCTAGGTCTCTCTTCCACTTAGGCTAGGAACAAT